TACGTATTGTTGATTTGACTACTATGCCGTATGTGTGGGACCAAATCTTGGAAAATCTTTCGGATTCTACTCATCGTCCAAAGCGATTAAAGCAGAAACTTGCGGTAGCGGCTTCGGTTTATTTCATTTGGCAGGAACGGAATAGAAGACTTTTTTCTGAGGATCGTCGGACTATTGAGAAGATTATCCAAGCCATTGTTCAGACTGTTGAAATTCGTGTGGCTTGGTTGGAAAAGCGGTTACTTGGCGATACTCGTTGATTTTATGGGTTTTTGCTGTGTTATGGGAGCTTTTGTGCGTTTTCTGCTCCTTTTCTTTATTTTTAGTTGTTTGTTTGAGTCGGTTGGGCTTTGTTTGTTTTGGCTTTTGGTGGCTTGGTATGGGTTCTTCCAAGTCATTTGTTTTTTGTTGAGTTTGTAGTGGTTTGTTTTTGGACGCTTTGCTGTATTTTCCTTTTGTTTTATAAAATTGCCTGGTTTCCGTTCAAAAAAAAAAAAAAAGGTCTGATCAAACTAAATATGACCCAATTAGTGTCATTTTGACCCAATTAGACTCCTTAAAAAGAAATGGGCCTATTAAACTGATTTCCAATTGGATTAATTTTGATCCATTTAGTGTTATTTTGACACGAATGACTCGATTAAAATAAGTACGCACATTCTACCTACTGGGACCAAATGGACCAATTAGGACCCTTAAGAATCATTATGCCTCAATTAGTCGCATTAACGTCTAGTGCCAATTAGAATCCTTATGGAATATGGAAGGGAGGGTTTGACTAGGGTTTGACTTTTTCTCTCAAGGAGGCATGATTGTATGAAGATGATGATGATGTTTTCGTATGCTCCTTGTTGATGTTTATGCTTTGATTTGCTTGGTTTTCGTCCTTGGTTTGCATCGTTTTCTTCCCCACAAGGCTTTTGCGGATTAGGGTTTCAAGGTTGACGGCGGCCTTGGGTTTTTCTCGGTTTTCGTTCTTCTTCTYCTTGAAGGCTTGCGTTCGTTTTAGCTTGGAGGTTATTTTGTTATTGCTTTGATCCCGTTATCTACTTCAAAAGCTGTTTCTTCTTAGATTAGGGTTTCTCGGTTTGGTGGAGGCGGTTTTAGGGTTCTTCATTAAGGTTGGTTTTTCGATCTTGTTTGTTTTGGTTGGTTGCTTCTTGTTTGTTTGGTTGGTTTATGATCGCATCCCCATTGATTGGTAATCCGTGTTGTTTCAACACAACTTGGCTTCGATTTTCTTATTGGCCGTACGTACAGGCTAGGGTTTTGTCCCTAGGGTTTGTTGTTTCTTTTGGTTAGGAGTGATCGTTTGTTGGTTCTTGCTTTGGGGTTTTTCTTTGCTTGCTTGAAGCTGTTGCTCTCGGGTTCTAAGTCTAGGGTTGGTGGTGTTCGGTTTTCCTTGGCTAGGGTTTGCATGCGCCTAGTGTTACTCGGCTAGGGTTTGCATGCTTTCGTGAGTTTATTGTGGGCTGATTGGACATTATTGTGCTTTTACCTATCTGTCTTTTGGTTTATTGCTCTTGCCTATTGCCACACTGTGCTTTTGGTCGTTTTCTTGTTGGTGACAATATCTAGTTTTTTTTCCTGCATCAAGTGTTTCTGTGGTCTTCGTCTCCTTTGTTGAGTTTCTTGATAGAGTATTCAGCACCTTATTCTAAGGTCTTCGTCTACTTTATTGAGACTGCTTGACTAGGGATTCAGCACCACGGCTTCTTGAKTAGGGTTAYAGCAAACTAGGTATTCTTKCCCTTTGGTGAGGATGTCTGATTTTGCRGATGTTATCTTGGAAGAAGTTTCTTCCCAGGATTTTGCTGATGTAATCTTGGATGAGACGGATCCTAGCATGGTGAAAGGTCCTCCTTTGCATGAGGGTCTACAGAAGAAAGCTGGAGTAAATGCTGGACCGACTTCGAGGGTGTCGGTATGGGAACGTCTTTCTCCAGCTGTTAGGGGTGAACATTGTGTGGTACCTCAAAAGTCCTTTGCAGAAATTGTGGGTGGTACTACCTCGACAGAGCTTACTTATTTTCCGGTTGACAAGAGTGTGAAACCGCGGATCTGTTTTCCCTTGGATGTTACAAAAGGTATGGCCAAATATTTTCAATCGGTTTTCTATGGGTATTTTCTTGGTCCTCTCGTCTTCCTTTCCCTATTGTTTTACGTGCGGTTCAGAATGCTTGGGGAAAATTTGGTCTTCTTGATGCTATGGTTAATGATATGGGTTATTTCTTTTTTCGTTTTAATGATGATGGTGGGTGCAACCAAGTAATTGAGATGTCTCCCCTTATGATTCGAGGGAGGCCGCTGTTTGTCTCTTTCTGGGATCCCTCCAAGGGTCTTCAGAAGCCTGAGCACAACTCTTGCCCGTTGTGGGTTAAGTTTTTTAATATCCCTCTTGTTGCTTTCAATAGAGAGGGTATTAGTCGAATTGCTAGTGCTATTGGCGTTCCGTTGCGTTTGGATGCTTGCACTGCAAGCACTTGTGATAAAGCATGGGGTCGAACTAACTTTGCTAAAGTGTTGGTGGATGTTTGGGCCATGGGTGAAATACAGAGGAATATTGAAGTGGTTATCCCAAGGCTGTCGGGTACTGGAGAGGATGTCATTAATGTAGTTCTTGAATATGATTGGGTTCCTTCCCAATGTTCGATTTGCAAAGTTTTTGGACGTCGTACGGTGTCATGTATGAAAGGGGATAATACAAAGCCAAAGGTGTATGATACTTTCTCGCAAAACGGGGGGTTTAAAGAGATCAGACGAAAACATTGGAGGTCGAAGGATAAATCAGGACTTAAGGATTTTCAGGCAACTTCATCGGGTGCGGCTTCAGGTAAGCATGATACTTTAACTAGGGTTGGCATTTTAAAATGGGTTCAGGAGGTGTCGAATCTCTCGGGGGATTGTACAAACGACAAAAATGTTCTACGTTATGGGGATTCAAAAAATTTGGAGGGGAAGGATGTCGGAAAGGTGGACGGTCAGTTCTGTACGGTGGATGCGGGACGAACGCCAAGGGGAAGAGATGATATTTCCAATGTCAAAATTTTATCAAAAGGGGGTCCGAAGTTAGTGCAAAAGGTGGTGCAAGCTTTTAAACCAAGGAGAGGCGCAATTCAAGATTTGCATACTAGTAATCGATTTTCTTCTTTATCTTCTGACGATTCTAGTGAGGATGATGACGATATGGAGATCATTGATACAGAGGGGCACATTATGGCAAAACGAGGAGAGGATGTACCACCTTCTTCGTCTCAATGATAAAGTTCGCCGCATGGAATATTAGGGGTTTAAATGCCCTTATCAAACGGAAGGAGGTACGTGATTTAATTAATCTCAAGCATCTTTCTTTATGTTGCATTATTGAATCCAAAGTTGTTCATAATCACTTGGGGGATGTGTGTAGTAGTGTATTTGGTAATTGGAGTTGGATTACAAATGGTTTTATATGTGATCAAGGCACTCGCCTAATTATTGCTTGGGACCCGTCAGTGTTATCTGTTCTTATGATTGAGCAGCACCAAAAATATGTCCACTGTGAAATTAGGATTTTTGGTCAACTTGATCCTATTTTTATTACTTTTGTTTATGGGTGTAATACGGGTATGGATAGGCGTGAGCTTTGGCG